TTCGGTTTCTGATAGAAAGACAACAGTAACTCAAATAAACACTTGTTACAACCAAGGTCTGCAGAAGAGTATCTCTGAACACACAACACTTTGAACCTTGAAGCAGAAGAGCTCCAGCAGCAGAAGACATTTGAGTGTCAGCTAAGAACAGGAAACTGAGGCTACAATTCACATGGGCTCACCAAAACCTGGACAATAGAAGATTGGAAAAACATTGCTGGTATGATGACTCTTGATTTCTGCTGCAACATTCAGATGCTAGGGTCAGAATTGGTTGTAAACAACATGAATCTATTCTGCCTTGTATCAATAGTTCAGGCTGCTGTTGTGTAATTGTGTGCTGGATATTTTCTTAATACTAACTGAGCATCATTTACACACCACAGCTGACCAGAGTATTGTAGCTGACCATGTCCATCCCTTTATGACTACAGTGTTTCATCTACAAACCTCAAAACATCTCAAACATGGCAATGAGTTCACTAAACTCAAATGGGCTCCACATTTACCAGATCTCAATCCAATATGGGATGTGGTGGAACAGGAGATTCACATCTTGGATGTTCAGCCCACAAATCTACAGCAACATGCGATCATGTACCTAATACACATGTACCAAAATCTCTGAGGAATGTTTCCAGCACCTTGTTGAATCTATGCCACACAGGATTAAGGCAACTCTGGGCATCCAAACTGGGTATTAATGGCTAGTGAATTTGTGTATAATAATATATATATATATATATATATATATATATATATATATAATAAACAATGCTGATGAGTGAAAGGTGAAAGAGATTGACTTGCCTGGTCTATATAAAAGGCAGTTCCTGAGCGGATCTCTCTGCGCTGTTTGAGATCTGTCTCAGTAGTATCTCTGGACAGGGCAACATATTCAACCTCTCGCTTTGTTAATTCCTAGCAAACAAGGAATAAAAGGTAAAGACTATGAAGAACATAGTTGTTATGAAATTGACAGAGTGTTTTATTCTGTGGAAATTCAGCATGTATTGGTGGTTGTGTTTGGGAGTGGTAATACTTGATATTACCAGGTACTGCATGGCAATCGAGCGCCGTAGAGGACCAGGAGGACCAATGAGAAACACGTCCTGTCCAAGAAGGTCCTTCTGCATTATCCAGCGAAGATGCTGGGTGATCATTTGTGGCAAAGCCTCAATCACTGTCAAAAAATATATATAATATGTTATTGAAAAATATTTTGTAATGTGTAAAGTTTTGGTAAGAGAGAATATGCAGATAGATAGATAGATAGATAGATAGATAGATAGATAGATAGATAGATAGATAGATAGATAGATAGATAGATAGATAGATAGATAGATAGATAGATAGATATTTATGAAGGATCATGTGACATTAAAAAACAGAGAAATGACTTATGAAAATTCAAATATTTTATGATTAAAAATTGTTTAAATATATTTAAATAGAAAATCGTTATTTTAAATTGAAAATAAACTTGATGAACGTAAGAGACTTCTTTCAAAAACATAAAAAATAGTAATGTTTCCAAACTTTTGATCAGTACTGTATACTGTATGTAAAATGTGTTAATTTATTGGGTATATGTGCACATTTACTTTCCTGCATACATTCTGGAAAATTAATATTGTTTAATTGTTGTTTATCGATAAAAAAATAAAAATAACAAAGTACTGCCTGAAAAATATCTCAACAGCATGTCAAACCAAAGTGGCATCATGTGCATTAAACATTATGATAAACATTTTCTTAGATCTAATATGAATTGTATGAGCCTTTTTTTTTCAATGACTTTTAATCAGCTGGTGTTTTGTTGACATTTAATGGACGAATGCATGAAGTCAATTCTCCTCAAGTTCACACAGCAGTGTATTATGACAAGCACATACTGTGGTTTACTGGCACAAGTTCTGGATTTCTGGGGGTTTTGAGTCTATATGAAATCTCGCCAATCTTCACAGTGTCACCTGTGGAGACAAAAAAAAGTTCATTAAATAGAAAAACAAAGCAAACTTAACACAAATAGCCAAACATGCATGTTATGAAACATTGATTCTATTTACAAACACTCCAAGTCAACAGAGCAAACATTTCTTTTTTAATGTCAATATTTATAGAAACGTTAAAGACGGATGTAAACATATCGGAAGAGTATTCAAAACAGAGAATACAGAGTAAATAGAACTTGGTGGGCTCCTCTTGACCTGTCAGTGAAAAACAATGTAATACTTGAGTGAAAGCTTACTCTCAAACCTCTTTAAAAACAAACTATAAAGACAAGAAGGGTCATATGATATTGTGTGCAGATAAACAGACTTTGGCTTTATTGAAATCAGTACCTGATGAGGTGTTGAGGAGTTTGACCTCATGTGCGCTGCAGTTCCAACCTTCTTTTGACATTACCGGTCCCAATATATGGCGAATCCTTCTCGCAGCAACAGCTGCTGCTGTCCCTTTAAATAAAATACGCGAATACATACCGACCCTTTACAAAGTGCTGTTAAATTACAAATATATCGGCTACACTGTTATAGATTCACTGCTATTTCATCATGGTCACATCATGAGTGTTTACATCACCGGTGCACGGATCTAGACGGAGGGAATTTGGTGAAGGACAGAAACTGTCCGTTTGAATAGGTCTTCCGTGTGGAACAGGCTGCTGCATTATGGGTTCCACGGGAAACAAATTTCCAAAACCAAGGAGCGTTTTCTAGGAATAATTCGCAAAACAACAAACAACAACAACAACAACAACAACAGACTTCTGTTTAGCTTGGGGTAACCAATGTCGAAGATTTTAGTAATCTATTAGGTTTTACTTGAACTGACTTGGGTCTAATCTAAAATCTACTATAAATAAGCATGAGTGAACTTTACTAAAATAAATAAAATGCAATACAATAAAATTCTGTCTTAGGCTGAACGGTTACACATCGTCTTGTTGTATTAGATAATCATATTATTTTAACTATTATATAAAATGTATGTGAAAATACACTAAAAAGTGCAATTAAAGGCCTTAAGCGCAGCATTATTCAATGAGTTGATATACCACTAAAACAGGAAGACAGGGTGGGTTTGTTTATAACAGCTCGGCCAGATCCATATTGTCTAAATTCTGATTTTGTCATTGTTTTTTTGGAGCCGCACTAGTTTATAAATAAGAGTAAGACTAACAATTCGCAATAAAAGCCAAAACAAACAAACAAAAAGCTTTCATGGGGACTTTAAAAAGAACTATGCGAGCTTTGATAAATAAAATATTTGTGATAATATGAGAAAATAGAGTTCAAATGAACTTCGAAACCATCACAAAAGCGCGCATGGTCATAGTGAATCTTTAAAAAGTGGGATTATGTGTAAAACGCAGGCTTCGTGACGTCATGGATAGCGCTTCGATTCCTTAATAGGGATTTGACATTTATCACGTGGAAAGAAAGAGGCTCAGCCTCTGGGAGACCCCGATAGAGTAGGCTATAGGGAGGAGTGGAGATGAGAAAGGGAAATATAACCTAACACTCAAACCATATGCTCAAATCCACGAGTGAAAGTCGCGCTTGATTTGTGCGCAGGGACTAGGAGAATAATGGAAGATGAAGACTGCCAATACACTCGCAGCCCTGCCTGGGAAGAGCTGGTCAGTACATTTTCTATTCGGATACTATCAAAGAGATCCTTCATAACCCTACACACATAGGCAGTGATTAAAGATTTTAGCAGTATTTTCGCAAACTCTAGATCTGATCGTGGCTTGTCTCGATGAGTGAGATCGCTATATGAAGAATTCCGTTCTACATTCCTCTACAAACTTTCTACGGGATTGATTTAGACAAGTTGCATGTTATAATATCAAACTAATCAATTATCTTATCTCGGTGAGTGACATCGCTAAGCTCTTTTTGCCATTCAAAGTAGACTGAGAGGAAATGTGAGATGACCCATTTTCATAGCCCAGTCTATAGTGGAATTAAACGAGGCTAATTCGTTTTTTTTGGAGGGTGCTGACTTATTTAAGAGTTTTAAATAAGACACTAATGAAATGCTCTGGCGAAATAAAATGTGACTGCATACAATGACTGATCGATCAAATCAATCAATCAATAGGATTTGTGCGTTTTGGTCATCAGTTTGAATTCACAAAACATACGCCTTTAAACTTAAGAGTAAGGATCTCTGCTCAGCAGTCTTCATTTATAGCTACAAATCTCAATGTTACTTAGCCTATACTGGCTTATAATTTATTATTATAATGTGTGCTAACGTGGATACATGCAATAAGTGACTAAGTGACAAAACAAACTAGCATTTAATTCAAACAAAATATTAGCCTATGTTGAAATGCTGCCTTCACGTGCTATCGGAAATGTGCTACTTCCCAGTTAGTCATGATTACGAGCTCATCGCATTCGATTTTTACGTGAGAGGGCGTTGATGTCCAACTTTTTAAATTGAAAACTAGTAGGCTATTTCACTACGATAATTCCCGTAGCATACGAATCTGGAGGTTCGCCTCGCTAGCGGCGCACTGGCACCCATAGCGCCTCAACATTTTTTCCGATATAACCAAACTTTTAATTGATACAATTTGGACATGAAATGTGTAATAAAGTGACAAATAAAGACAGTACAATGTAGCTAACTAGTGTTTTGTGGGTGTCCAATTCGCATCCCAACGAAAGAGCTCGAGCCGCCAACTGTTGCTATGGTTACAGTCTCAAGCGATGTGGACCTAGATTTCTACCGAGGAGGCCAAATGCAATAAACTGTGCAAGGGACCCAGTAATTCTAACGAATAGCCTACACTATATCATCATATGCATAGGCTATAGGCTATTGTATATTATTTCTTAAATATGATAATATGGTAGAATCTCGCGATAATGTGCAAACTGCAGTCTATTTGCATTTGGCAGCTCTCAGTAGGTTTTGAGACTCGGTCTGGTTGTGGCTTCGTATAATGTTTCAGAAGAAACATCTGTTGCTGTATCCTCGCCATAGTTTGTGAGATAACGTTACCCGTCCGCCGCTAGGGTTTGCTACAGAGATTTCCTCCCGCTCCGAGCGTCTCAGCCCCCCGTCTGCCTTTCTTCATGCAGTCAGGGAACCAGCGCTCGTGTTCAGACACGAAAATGCATACCACCCGGCAAGGAAAGTTTCACTGTAGCTCGTTTAAAAATAACAGACTCTAAGTGAATCCCTGGTGGTGCGCCGGTTAGGCTGAAAAGCACAAAAGCATGACGGCCAGGAGAACCGGTTTCCAGCCGCTATTCAGCTCCCGCATCCCGGCGGAGAGGAAGGGAGCGGCTGAACGCGTTCATAACCCGGAGTGCTGTGACTCTTCCCCGCAGGAGCCGGAGAAACCAGCCGCGACCCCTTCAGGGCTGCCCGCCGTGGGGGCTGTCGGGGGACCCGGGCCGGTGGTGGTGGACGAGTCATCCGACAGCGAGGGAGAGCAGGAAGGGCCGCAGAAACTCATCAGGAAAGTGTCAACCTCCGGGCAAATACGAAGCAAGGTAAGACACGTTGTTTCACACCCGAAGCCTGTGTTGTGTGTTTTGCTGTTCATGTCCAGGCCAGTAAGCAGACGATGGTGCTACTGTAGTCCTGCGCACATGGTAGACGTCTATGAGCTCAGTAAACACTGAGATTTTCCAGCGTCAAACATCTGGAATGATTGCAAACTGAACATGAATGTTGCGGTTATCCCTTGTGCCATAATTCATCTCTCATAGACAGTAAGCATGCAGTAAATGCAGCTCAGTCAGCAGTGCTCTACTTACAGTCTTTAACCTGTTGATATGTGTAGTCACTCACGACCACTTGTTGCTCTGTTTTTATGGGCACTCTTTTCTTTTCTTTTCTTTTCTTTTCTTTTCTTTTCGTTTTGATAATATTTTTGTTTCTTCACTAATTTTAATCGCATACAATTTTATTAAGTATATTTTGAAATATTATCCTTATATTATGATTTATTAAATTATTGCTATATTAAATAATACATTAGGTCTATAATATAATTATATATATAGTAAATTACAGATTATTAAACACTGATGCTTTCATGATGATGTTGAACCTTAGTTTTTATGAGATTTTCTTGGTTACATTCATGTTTAGGCTACATTTTTGTCTATATATATAAGATCATTTATATATATATATATATATATATATATATATATATATAAGATCATTTATATATATATATATATATATATATATGTTTAAATTCATCCACTTTGAATAACACAACTTTTTTTGCCTGTTTTTTTTTTCTGTATAGTGTGGAATGATTTTATGACCTTTTTACTTTAAACACAATAATCATATTGTATGCTCTTGAGTGTCTAAATCTGGACAGATCTGGGGTAATTTAATACATTTACATAATTAATCCCCCATAAACCCATTTAAACGTGGGCTTTGATACGTACATTAATGAATAGTAATCGAAGCCTCTTGATTCTGCTCTCCTGCTTGGCAAGATGACACCTCAGCCATCTTGCCCCACTTTTACTGTGACACAATAAAAAGTTCCTCTTTTCTGACCAGAACAAATCCACTTAATTATTGAGTGCTGCTCTCCACCCCCTCTACATTATTAAAGAGGGCTATATTTAGATACGGGCTGCTCTGGATGTAGGGCTGGTCTTTAGTGATGATAATGAGCTGTCAGTTTAAAACACACCGCATGTGTAAATAAAGACTCATTCAACAAGAATCATTCAGAAACATCATCTCCTCTCATCAATCAATATACAGCAGTAGATGAATGCAACTCCACACACACACAAAAAAACAAGTAAAACGTATTTTGCCAACTTTTTGCACGCATATTTTTAAAGTAAATTTCACGTATGAAATTAAGTAAACTCTACTTAATTAAGTTCAGTGAAAGTAACAAAGAAAATAAGGCATTTTAACTTGGCTTGTAAAAGGTTGAGTAATATCTATTTTGTTGAAGTTTGCAGTACATTTCACTCAAACAATAAAACTTTGAATTAAACCACACTTTTAAAGTATATGCTTTACCTAGATATATCTTAGTAATTAATACAATAGAGATTGTGTGAAACACCAGAAGTTTCACATTGCGTAAACGCAGAGACCTCATATTAGACAATACACAATTTGATGGATCGTTTTTGTGTTTGAATGTGTCATTTTGAGTATAAAATGATCTCAAAATGACAAGTTAATAATCCCAACAACAAAAACAACGATAAAACTGGAAAACAGTGCAAAATCATTTATTATTCAAGGCTGCACGAAGGGAAAACCAGTATCAGAAAAGTTGAGTAATTTTACTTAATTTCATAACGTTGATATTTACACTTTCTATTCTACACACTTGAATTGAGTTCTAATATAGAATTTATATCGTTTTTTTTTTCTATTCTTGCCTGAACTAACTTTTTCGTGTAAATTACAATGTTTTTTTCTTTCTGTAGTATTTACTTCACCACAAAATAATTTTCATCAGTGCACGTCCATGTCACTGTTTTTCTTTGCAAATGGCAGTACAGAGATTGTGACACGCATTGACTTGTTTGAGATTTGTTTCTACATCAGTCAGCTTAGTCAGCAGGGATAGTTCATAAAAAAATGTAAATTATTGTTGTTGCAGACCTGAATTAATTTCTTTCTTCTGCTGATCATAAAAGAATAATGGAAAAAATATATGGAAGTCAATGGGGACCATCAACATTTCTTTAAAATAACTTATTTTCTTTTTAAAATAGTTTCAAAGTAAATTCAGATCAAAATTTTTTTTTTCAACTTTTCAGAGTTTTAAACTTTGCTTTGTGTTTGTGATCATATATTCCATTAAAACAGTTATTTTAAATTAATATGTCATGTTATATCTCTATTTACTGTATTTTATTAAATAAATGCAGCCTTGATGATCATGAAACCTTTATAATCAAGTCAAGTCACATTTATTTATATACCACTTTTTACAATACATGATAGCATGAAAATAATACAACAATTTTGTTTCTAGACGAACATTGTGTCATCGTCCACCTGACGTAAGGCAGATCAATAATATTGTTGAATAATAAATGTCCCCAACTAAGCAAGCCAAAAGCCAAGGCAACAGTTGCAAGGAACCGAAACTCCATCAGGTCACAGAATGGAGAAAAAAACCTTGGGGGAAACCAGACTCAGTCGAGGGCCAGTTCTCCTCTGGCCATCGAACGAACAGTGTATGATTATGATTCAGGCAACATTACAGGTCAGAAGTTAGATTGGATCAGAACATTCACAATTTTTATCCAGTTACATCTGGTTGGAGGTCGGAGTCATCACGGTGGTATGGAGAAGAGTTTGTTGAGGTGTCCATGAGGTCTTCACAGGGCTGATGAGGCTGGCACTTCAGGGATGCGTTGTCGTCGTGTCCAGGCACAGGTTCACTGTCTGATCTGGATACGGCCCGGATCCGGCTGACTTCAATAAACCTCGGAATAAATGGAAAGACTAACATTAGCATAGATGCCATTCTTCTTATGATGTAAAGAGTTCATGGGGTGTTCAAAAAGTGTCCCCGGTTCCGGCTGACCTGATTTGAATAATAGAAATGTTTAATGTTCTATGTGAATGTCAGGTAAAAGAGATGTGGTTTTAGTCTAGATTTGAACTGACAGAGTGTCTGCTTCCCGGACAATGTTAGGGAGACTGTTCCAGAAATTTGGTGCTAAAAAGGAAAATGATCTACCGCCCCTAGTCGATTTTGATATTCTAGGTATTATTAACCTGACAGAATTTTGAGATAAAAAATATACGTGCGTGCTGTAACTCTGTCTCACGCACTCACCGCAAGCCTAGCTTAGCACAAAGACTGGATGTTAATGGATACAGCTAGCATACTAATCCCAAATAAGAGACAACATAATGCAAACATTTTCATATTTACATGTTGTGATTTGTATAGTCACAGAGTGGGTCATATGAGACACAGACATCTTTTAACCGTATAGATATTGGGAACTATATTCTCAGAAGGCGAAGCACTACTACTTGGGCGGAGTGATTACCGCAGCACCTGAGACGCACCGTGGTGAGGGGCAGAGAGTTCGTTCAGAGTTGGAGTAATAGGGTCAGTAATTACAGAGTGAACAGCAATGGTCCTAGTACTGAGCGTTGTGGTACACCATACTGAACTTGTGATCAATAAGACATCTCTTTGTTTACTGCTTCAAACTGATCAGATAATTATGATTTGTAAAACATTAAAAAAAAATGTTTTCCCTAAAAATCTGACCATATATATAAATATGTGTGTGTGTGTGTGTGTGTGTGTGTAACGCAATTATATATAATAAAATTGTGTGTTTACAGTACCTGTCGAAACTTAATGTTTTTGAAAGAAATCACTTATGCTCACTTATGCTGCATTTACTTGATCAAAAATACAGTAAGAACAGTAATATAGTGAAATATTATTACAATTTAAAATAACTGTTGTCTATTGTAATATACGTATTTTAAAATGTAATTTTTTTACTGTGATCGAAGCCGAATTTTCAGCATCAATACTCCAGTCACAAGTGTCACATGATCCTTCAGAAATCCTTCTAATATGGTGATTTTGTGCTCAAGAAACATTTCTACTTCTTCTTCTTCTTCTTCTTCTTCTTCTTCTTCTTCTGCTTCGTCTTGTCCTTTTTCTTATTTTCTTTTTTGTTTATGTTAGACCGGTCATGTGAATGCTGTTCAGCAGAGTGCCTCGCTTTGCCCTGGTAACTCTGTGGAGAGCAGCTAATGTCCAGGCCATCTGTGTTCTCAACGGGTATCTCAGTGTGTTACACAAGTTACAGGAGGGTGAGAGCGAGAGCTAGTTAGCTGGCTGATAATGGTAGGTGTTGTGTTGTTCTGTTGGCCAGTGGGCTGTGATGTGTGCTGATCAGTGCTAATGGAGCTTGTAGGCTCTCGGCGCTGTCCCATCTCATTGTTTGCTTAACACGGGCTCTTCACAGACTGTCCCATGTGTCCTGGTTGCACTGTGGCCACTCTCTGTCACAGATCACTCCATATGCTGGGGATGATCAGGGATCTTCTACCGTTGGAGTGCACTGACATTTTTCAAACCCAGGTTAGCTGATGCCATAGTAACTACCCACTCTATCTTCATTACGCTAATTGAGGGATCAGGGAGTGCTGTGTAAAGGTTTGACTTTGAGTAACACTTCGGGGCATGATGAGATCAAAATAAATGTGTAGATCCTTAACAAAAGCAAGGAAAAAGTCTGTGCTAGATGTGCTATTTTGTGTCTTGCTCATTCCCAGGCTTAGTTTTTGTTGCGACATCAATCCACTTAAAAAAAAAAAAAAAATTCTAATAAATAAAAAAAATGTAGGTATAACTGATTTTAGGAATTATGCAACAAGAAAAAGAAAAAAATAATATTAATATAATATAATATAATATTAAAAATATCTAATGTTGAGCTGAATCAGTGTTATTTTAGTATCAAGTTCATACTTTTTGTTAATATTTAGAATGAGATTT